GGAGAATTTAGCAACATCATCTTCCCCAGTCCTCTGTACTTCTGCATCCTTACTCTCCACCCTTGACTTCAAAGTCTAGTCCTTTCTCTAATGCCATTTATTCTCTCATACCTTCTTCAAAGAGATACTGAGCATGACGTCCTCCTCCTACTCTGAATCGATATTACTTAGACATTGCTGCATTAAAAAAATCACACTACAACTTAATGGCTGAAGAACACTGTGAATCTAGCCTTGCACAGTTTCCAAGGGTCAGGAGTTTGAGAAGACTCAGTCAGATGATTCCTTCCCTTGGTAGCATGTAAAGTTATAGTCAAGATTCCAGCCAGAGACAGAATCATCTCTGGGCTTGGCTTGAGTCGGAAGTCAACTTTAGAGATGGTTCATGTGTGTGACACACAATCATTGTTGACTGTTTCCAAGAGGCCCTAGTGCTTGCCACATAGAGTGCTCCATTGGGCTGTAGAGTATCCCCACCACCAGGGATACTTTTTTTCCTTCATACCTGAAATGGAGGGGAGAACAAGCAGCAGCCAGCCATATTCATGAGAGCATGAAGTCATATGCTCTTTTGTTCATTTGTCTTGCTTTATAGACAACAGCCCATTCAATGTGGACTGGAACAGGAGTTATGGATGGATCCTTCAAAAGCATGGCAGAAAGACTGCTTACCATGGAACCTGATGAGATTTTCTACAACTCTAATACAACTTAGTGTTCTGTCCTGTGTTAAAATTGTTTTTGTCCCTCTACGGCCATGCTACAAGGTTGTGTGTCCTTGAGACTTTTCACTTACTCCTTATTATGGTGTCACTTCAAGGTTCCAACCATTGCTTTCCAATGGACATCACATTCACTGAGAATCTGGGAACACGACCTGTGCTTTATCCAGACGAATGAAGTTCTAGGGATAGATGGAGAAATGGAGAAAGGATGAGGCAAAGGAAATATGAGATAGATTGGATTAAAGTATGCATATTACTGGATAGATGCAAAGACACTGGTGACATTTTTGTAGATACCAAAGAATAGGATTTCCAAGTGATTGACACCATGCAACAATAGTCTGCTTTGGCTAACGTGTGGAATGGCTTGCCAGAGATTTTGTTTTACTGAATCTCCTTTGATTGTGCTGAATATTATGTGACAGAACATTCAGTATGTCATTCCTTTAACAAAACAGGGAATCTTTACTTACACATAACTCCTCAGTAATGTCAAATCACGTGTTTGTAATTATTTTTACATAAGATTGAGAACTTTATTTAACCTTTAATTAGCTGCTCTGTAACCTGGCTCAGTGGGGTAAGATCATTTCTAGATTGATCAAGTGACATTTATACATAATTTGGCCGAAGGGCAAAGAAGAACATCCAGAGGAACAAAAGACCCATGAGAAGTAAGTCCAGGCAGGTCCTTCTCAAAAGGTCACTCACACCCACCTTTGTGTTCCCCTACTCAGTCCAGATCCTTAGAAATTCAGGTCAGATTCTGAAAATGACCTTCAAGAAGTTCTCCTTCCAAACATTCCTCAAAGTTAAACTTGTGAAAACTCCCCCAAAAGGGTCAGAAACTGGCTTCCTCCATTTGGACTGTCTTACCAGAGAACTGAAGCCAGGCAGTTTATGAGCAACAATAACTCTTTTCTTAGATTTCCTGAGGCTATGAGGTTCAAGACGAAGGTACTAGAAGACTTGGTGTTTGTTGCAAATGTGCTTACTGTTCCCTGCACTGTGCCTCTCTGCCCTTCCTGGGTGGGAAGAGTGAGGGAACCCCTTGAGGTCCCCTTCACGACTGCACCAACCCCGTTCCTGAGGTCTCCACACTCATGACCTAGCACCTTCTTCAAACCTTGCCTCATAATATGGTGCCTTTAGGAACAGCAGCTCAGTACATGAAGATAAGGAGACACAAACCCTCAGGGCACAGAAAAACCTTCAGCGAGTGCCACAGCCAAGAAAACACATGCAGGGTCTGTCTCTCGAGCATCCCGCAGCCCTCACAAAGCCTGCACTGTCTTCTTCCCGTTCGTCTCTTCTCTCCTTTCCTAGTGCTTCCTGAGCGCCATATTGAGCTCTCACCCAATTGTCACGAGTACTAGTGTCTTCCTTGCTTTTCTACGGCTGTGATAAAGCACCATGACCAAGACAACTTAGTTATGCTTCCAGATGGTTCTCCAAGTCCCACGTGTGGCAGGAGCCTCTTCTCCTCTTGGTACTTAAGGATCAACTACTGTGGCAAATCTCCCGTTCACCCACCTCTATAGACCTCAGTTCCAGGAGCATAAGTAGCCCAGGGCTGCCTTAGCTCTGCAGGGACTGTTCCTGTGTCCCCAGGAGGATATCCTCCTTCAGTTTCACCAAGTCCTGCTTCCTTCTGTGAGGTTACAGTGGTGTGGGGACACTCATGTGCCCTTTACTTCAGATGGCTTGTCTTTTCAGTTCCCAACATTGGGCCTCTAAAACCTTCAATGTGTGAGACCCTAAATCTCTCATATAATGACTTCCTGTGTGTTTTCCATCTCTCGTTAATCTGTTTTAAATACCATGGCATCATTAATAGAGTAACACATGTTCTGTGGATTGTGTGGAGGACCTCTGGGCCTTTGGACTACATTGTACCTGAAGGATAAACAATAAACGTGGTATATGCATGTTGCCACCTACTCAACCTGAGCAAACTCATCCCCAGCCTCCTTTCCTACAGGGAAGGAAAAGAATCCATGCGTGCGAGGGCTAGAGAGATGGTTAGCCAGTTATGAGCACCTACTGCTCTGCAAAGGACCAAGGTTCAGTTCCCAGCACTAAACCACCTCTAACTATAATACTTGGAGATCCAGTGCCCTCTTCTGACCGTCTCAGGTGCCTGCAGGCATGTGGTACACATACATGCATTCAGGCACACACATATACATAAAATAAAGTTTTAAAATGTTTAGAAAGAACTTGCGTGCCAAGACACAAAAGTGGCAGAGCGTAGGTGGGTTGGTTTGCTTCTGCAGATTGTTATTTGCTTCCTGAGCCACATTTGAAGATGCCCTTGTAGGCTTGCTATCTACAGGAAACTTTACACGTGTTCTCACAGTCCTGCCAGCACGCGCTTGTGATGATAGTGGGTCAGCAGTCTAAGGCTTGGTCTGCCGTGGCCATGGTACCACCACCATCATAGTTGAGAACATCCGTCACACTGCTTACCTGTGCAGATGAAGGTGGAGTGTACCTGCTCTGTAGGTCACACTGGGTGGTGTGCGTATGTGTGCAGGAGGTGAAGTCAGAGAGAAGAAAGTGCTGTATTTACATAGTCCTCTAAGGGAAAGCTGTTGGAAGGGAAACATTCGAATGTTCAGAACAGTGAACTACAACCCTGGAGATACGAATCAAACCGCAAGGGGCCGCGGTGTGTTCAAGAGGAGGATGATCACCATGACGCTCAGACACATTTAGGGACTCACGCTCAGTGTAAGCTGACTGTGGGTTTTAACACACCAGGGGGTGCTTTTCCACTTTTTGTGTTAGGTACCACTTTGAAATAAGTGAGATGACAGAATCATTTAAACCTTGTAGTTGTTAAGAAATTATCTTCTATAATGCTAATATTTAACCTTGATTTTTTTCTAGTGAAGTAAATTTAAAAAAAAGATCTTGTAACTGCTAAGAACTGGGTGTGAATGAGTATGCTTGTATTCTGTCTTTACATCGGCAATAAGCTTATCTAAATTGACTGCAAGGTAATTTCACTATTGAAATTGCCTTGAGAATGATCTCAAATTAATATAATCAATTTGTTCCCTTCTTCATACAAGTATGCTTTGTTCATTTGCCAGCAAAGTAATGCAACTTTCCAGGAGATTTATTTTCTTATAAAGTTATTTATAAACTTTATAACTGTATCAGTTGCTTCTATATTGGTGTGATAGAATAACATGACCAAGAGCCACACGACATGACACACAGAGTTTATTTTGGTGCATGGTTCCATAGTGATCGAGTCCCCATTACAGTGGGAAAGCATGGCATGGAAACAAGCAGGAAGCTGGCTAATCACTTCTTTGCACATTGGAAGGGCAAGATAGAGAACATTAAGTGGGTCGAAGCTATATTTCCTCATAGACCACACACAATGACAAATTTCCTCTAGCAAGGTTCTCCCTCCTAAAGGTTCCATGACCTCCCCAAGAGTACCACCAGCTGGGGACCAACGGTTCCAATATATGAACCTTCAGGGGCATTTTTCATTCCAACCACTATATAAGGTAATCCAACAATTTTTAGGATGTATATATATTGATTTATTATTAATCTTATTGTGAGAATTTGAGAAACTGAATGTTTTTGTAAGATGGTTATCAAACAGACAAAATCCTTAAAATAGGAACAAAATGCTGTTGGTTGTTCTCCTGCTTCTAAATTCCCCTTTTCTGATTGCTGGTTTGCTGGCTCTGGCTATGTTGGGCATAGCTTCTTTGGTGCAATGGTTCCTTTCCTTTTGACTTTGGCAAGTTCTGATTTTACATATTATTGTAATTAAATTAAAGAGACAATGTAAACGCTTAAAAGGGAACATCAATGTAACGTAAAGGCAATATCCACTAAATGGAGAGCACAATGGATAAGACCAGTCCCCGTGCTGTGTGGTCAGTGTGTCATCAGGGAAGGGTCAGTGAGGACAGATGTGAGGAGCGTCTACACAATCTACCGTATGGATGTGGCGAGTGAGCCAGTTAATTAGGAATCTGGGCAGGCTTTCTAGCAAGAGATGGTATTGAATCTCAGCTTTAAACAACTGACTGATAAACTTACCAACTTTAAATATAACTTAGCAACAGTCAACGTTCCATACAGCTCATGGAGTGTCTCCAGTGTTTAATGTATCACCTTCGAGGGGATAAGTTTGAGGTTGGGCAGCCGCAGCATCGGGTCAGAACTTGCGCCAAGCAACCCCAGTGTAGAATTCTGGCCACCGTGGAGGTCCAGCAGACGGCTTCTTCTCTGTCTCTGCAGGAGCCCTGTCCTGGTCTTCCAGTGTACCCACCGCCACGTGATCTGCCTGGACTGCTTCCACCTGTACTGTGTCACAAGACTCAACGATCGTCAGTTTGTCCATGACGCTCAGCTTGGCTACTCCCTGCCATGTGTAGGTAAGACAGGCCCTTTAATCTTCATATTAATGTCTCCTAATATTAATTAATCAGAAGAGCTGGTGACATAAACCATTTGAGATATGCCTAATCCTGGCCCAAGAGTTGAAAGTTTAAACATGGTCCTTGCTAGTAAGAAACTTTAGCATTTAAATCACAGGAGATACAAAACTCCAGGGAACTGTGTCACACTAGGATGTGTGTGCCTTGCTTAAAGGCATCGAAAATAAACCTCAATACTATTAATTCGAGATACAAAAAGGGCCTTTGGGTTTGGCTAATGGATTCTGGGTTTGCTACTGGATCTAGAGCAGTTTTACCCACATGTTCCAGTAGAATAGGCTTTCACCAGTAGATTTGATGCCGAGTACCTTCTCATGTGCTCGTGGTCTGCACATTCATTACAATGTCTATGGGGTCCTTTGTTTTCCTCACTTGTAAACTGGGTTACTTGTCAATTTGTTGTGGAACTGTAAGTTTCTTGAGTAGGAAAGGTGGCCCAATGGTAGGGGTGCTTGCTGCTTAAACCAGGTACTTTAGTTCCATCGCAGAACCTGCAATGTCATGAGAATACCTATTCCCAGTTGTCATCTGACCTGTATGCACTCGGCCATGACACACGCACATGCAGTAATAGTAAATGAAATTTAAGACATCCAGATACTAGATCTTATGATTTGTTATTAATGTTTATACCTTTCTATAATTTATCTGTTTACCAGTGATTTTGGCCAAGTCCAATTTATTGGTGTCTTTTGTTAATTTAGTGTCAAATGTTGCTCACTGCCGTGTCTGAGATAATGGTAATTTGTTTCTATTATTTTCTTGGATAGTTGACCTCTTAAGTTACTGGTGCATTTTGAGATATTCTTGTGTCTTAGCATGGTTGGTGTCCCCGGCTTGCTTCACTGATTTGCATATTGAAACTAAACACTTGGACACTATGGTACTTGACTTAATGGCTAAGTTTGAACTTTGATTTATTTACTTTTTTGGCTTCAGCGTGAATCGTAGCAAACACGTCTATGCCTCTAAATGACACAGATCCAAACAAAAGAGGCCAGTTGTAGTGTTGACTCTGAAGGTCATGCTGTTCATACTTCAATATTTTTATATGCCAATAGGTTTTATCGTAGTGTGTGTGTGTATGTGTGTGTGTGTGTGTGTGTGTGTACCAACATAGGCATTAAGACTGACTGAAACATATGATGTTTTTATATTTCTTAACCAAAGCATCAAAACCCAGAGCATCATTTGGATCAGTAAACTGCTTTCCGTTCTATAGACTTGGAGATGGTACAGGCAGTGCCCATGTGGGAGCCAGAGTGTAGACACTATATTAATTATAAAGCTGTTGGCGATTTTCTTGGTTTCTTACTGACTATCTCTGACTTAAGTATTTAACCCATAATTGTTAATCTAAGTATTTCTCTTACCAGAGAAAGGGTCCAGACCTCTTATTCCTCTGGTAGCCTACATTGTGTCTGACTCTGCCTCTCTTTCCCAGAATCCTCCTCTACTCCTGGTCTCACTTATCTTGCTTCCCCTATTGGCCAATAGTGCTTTATTCAACAACCAATAAGAGAGACAGATTTACAGAATGACATCTCCCATCATCTCCTCTTTTCTGTCTAAATAAAAAGAAAGGTTTTAACTTTAACATGGTCAAATTATATATAACAGAACAGTTATCAAGTAAGAACTATAGTTACAATATTTAGTCCATTAACATTTAGTAAGATTTAAAGAAATATCATCTATCCTATCTTTGTGAGTCTGAAGTCTTATATGTAACTTATCTTTTATCATAACTAAGGAAAACTATGGTTATAACTATCTGCCTTCAACTCCATCAAAGACCACAGAAGGATAATATATAAACACTAGAATTGACAGAGACATCTCGCTGCCTGGACAAGTCACCTGAAGTTCTGCTGTAACATTGGGGCATCCATCTTCAGCCCATAGGCCACCGTGTGTCTGGAAGACTTCTCAGCAAAGCAGGAAATTTTAAACTGTTCATCTGCGTTGGTAGTCTGTCAGTCATTTTTCTGTGTCCTGCAGAAAGTCTGGCAGACTCTTCCATGAAGCAGGAACCCTTTAGGACTGTCCAAGTTCAGTAGTCACTTTTCTGTGGGTCCTGCATGTCCAGATTATACAGGAACAGTCAAACAGTCTAGGCAAAAGCATTTGTTGCCCAAATGGCTAATCTTGCCATGTTGAAAGCAAACTCTATAACGAGTTTCTTCAATGCCTATCTTCCTCTCAGAAATAATTGGTGCTGCCAGGAGCAGACATTTCTTATTGTCAAGAAAAACCCTAAACTATTTTAAATGCCGTTTTCTGAAGGTCTTTGAAAGGTTGAAGACTATCTATCTATCTCAAATATATTTCTGAATATCTAGAAAACCTAACTTACCTAATTATAAATTCTGACTATTATAAGTAATCATCTATAATATATACTTAATTATGCATTATGTTTTTAAAAATCAGTATGAACACAATAATTCATCAAGAGGAGAAATATACACATCACAAATTGACCTTGAATTTGATTCAATAAATGAAAAACCATACCAATACAAAGTATTCATTTCTATACCATAATCCCCCTTTACCTTTAAAAAGAGATTGGTTGTGATCACTAACCAATTATAAGCAACCCCATACAAATGAAAACAAAGATTTATAAACAATATTTGGGATTTTGGACGTTGCTCATTCCAAACTGCTTCCTGCTAATAGGGGGTGCTGTCCATACCATGGTGATCATGACAAAACTCAGAAACATGGGTACGTCTTTGATTTTTGTAGTCCTTAAGGCTGTATCATCTCAGCTTTCTTAGATGTTGGAACACCTGGCCCACTGCTTCCAGGGGTCTTGGTTCATCAAACCACAGAAACCTGTAAGGAATTCACAGCTTTCTATTTTCTGTGGAAACAGAAATAAAATATCTTTCCCAAAGTAACATATCCTTATACTTAAATTTTGAAGTCAAGGCATTTTCAAAGGATATAAGTTGAATTAATCCAACAGCATTTATAATCAAGTGTACTTTAGCAGTTGTTCCTTCTTTAGCAATCAAAAAACTAAAAAACACAATAGCATACAGTATCCATACTCTCTGTATTTTCCATCTTTACATGGCTCATTTTTATCTATTATTATTATTATTCTTTCTTTCTTTATTTCTCTGAGACAGGGTTTCTCTGAAAATCTGCCTGCCTCTGCCTCTAGAGCAAATCCTACCAGCGTGCACCACCAAAATTGGCTTCTCTATTTTTTTTAGCCACTATCCTGTTTCTTTTTCTCTCTCAAGCCTACATATATTTTTAAACACACTGTAAGCCTTTAGAGGTTTTTCTTCATCTGAGTCTGACTTTACTGTAAATCTTTATGTTTTTCTGGTCATGTGTTTGTTATCTGCTAAACAACATTGCTAATCAAAACTGTGGCTGTTTTAACTGCAGTTTTTCCAAGATGGCGGACATAAGTTTACCACCAGTGCTGGCTGGCAAGTCTCTGCTTGTCTCTAGCAAAACAGAGCTCACCCAAGAAAAATCTGCAAACAAGTATCTGTGCTTCTCTCTGCCCTTCTGTTCTTTTGTTTCTAAAATCCCTTTTATACCACCAGAGGACAATTTAAAGGGTGACCTCACTCTTTCCACCATGTGGGTTGCAGGGATTTCAAGTGCCTTTACCTGCTGAATCATCTCACTGACCCCAGTATCATTAATGAAATCAGTTTGTATTGGTAAATCTTTTTCCTCACTGAATCTCAGACTATGGAAATACTTAAGTACCAGTCTTAAGACTTTCTTTCATATTCAAGATATGTTTAGGGAGTAGTTCATTCTTTTCACATTTCTAAAATGCCAGCCTGAAAATGTAGAAGAGTCTGGACAAGCAGAAGCAAAGAGCAAAACTGCAGTAAATCTCGTGCAGCATGACACAGTGGTGTGTTCTGCTTGGGACTCTTGCACGATGACTGGAATCAGCCATGTCTGTGGAAGCTCCAGCCCCTACCATTGGAGGATGTGTTCGAGGTCAGAGTCTGGACACTTCCCTGGAGTGCCCCTCACTCTTGGGCTTCTCCCTAACATGAATCCTTAATTATAAACTAAATTACAATGTTAGTTTACAGGGATTATTCTGGTTAGGACTCAGGCTTGCAGAACTTTTACTGAAAATCACCAATATTGCAACTGTTGTTCATTTCCCCCTTGGCAATAATAGTAACAATAATAATAACCCCTCTTGCTGACTGACAGCTGAGCCACTATGCATGCACGTTTTCTTCAGATCCTTGCCTTCCCCCAATACTGTGCATGATTGTATCACAGCGGTCACTTCTAAATAAGACGCACTCCCCTCACTCTTCAAACTATAACATCACTGAAATCCATGGTGCATACATATTCTATTTCTCCTTATTGTTGAACACTTCATTTTCTCCCTCTTTTTTATTCCACACACTTCTGTGACTAGCTGACTAGTGTGGGCACAGATTTTCCTACTGCTATCAGAGTGCCCCTGAAATAGATGCCTCGTAAGAGGGCTTGTCTGCTGTGTCTAGGGTCTGCGGCAGAATGTGTGTTTATTAAACCGTTTCCCATTTCCCCTCCCCAAAGCTACAGGTCGACTCTCTGCCACCGCTGAGAGGGTGGAGAAATTTTTTCTAATCATATATTTGAGAAATGAGAGTTTCTCATTGTCTTGTCTAATTTCACCCTTTCTGTGTGTCTAAGATCTGCATGTGTTTTTCTGGGTCATTTGTGTATTGAGAGGTGGGTTAAGTGAATGTCTGCTGTGAGGTATCCTCTGTGTAACACCTTGATGAGAGCTCCATATCATCACAGCAGAGGTCTTCAAGGCTAGATCACTGCTATTTTTTTATATAAAAAATGCATATAGATTAGCCTCAATGCTGCTAATCCTTTGTCACAGATGCCTAAGAGGTGTACTGAAGAATGCTCTGCCTGACCAAGCTACCACG